AGATGACAAAGATATAGTCATCCCAAATTCATCAATTTCCATACCTGTTGTGAACTAGCAATCTAAAAAAAAAAAAAAAAAAAAAACCACAAAAACTACAACCAAATTTCCATTGATATACAAACAAGAAAATCTACACAAATCAGCCCACAACAACTACTCTCAATTTTAAGTCGATTTATCTAAAAATAAGCATAATGTTGAAACTCCAAATTCAATTTGCATAACTAATTTTGAAATAGCTACTTCAAATATTCAGATTAGCCTAAAAATAACAACTTTTACCTAGAAAATGGGACGATGCCAACGAGGACTCAACTCGGAGGGAAGTGTGAAGAAATGAAATGCGGCCGATCACGAAGGCGGCTGCTCGGTGAGAAGGGGCTGTTTGGCGATTTTGGCGGGCGACTATTCGGCAAGAAGAAATGTGTTATTTGAAAACTTCTGCGGGCAGGGAAATCCGACAAAGGCTAGAGATGGAAGAAATGAAAAGGATTGAAAGAAATAGAGGGAAGGAAGGCGCGAATCGTCAAAATTTTGAAAAAAAAAAAGAAAAAAATTTTAGATCGCAAAATGGAGGACCAATATGCAATTAAACACTAAAACTTTTTATGTAAGTTACTTATTTTAATAAAATAATAAAATAAAATAAATAGAACACATGTCGCCTCTTTATTGGAGAGACATGCGAGACAGCAACACCAGTGGGACGGCAGAGCTGATGTCATATTTTTATACAATTTAATAATTTTACAAAAGACAACACACAGAGCAATTTTTTAAAGTCAAATTTATTCGAGCTAATAAAATATATGCTCCTTTATTATGTTGTATTTAATAACATGTTCGAAGATATCATACATCTTATATGTAGCGGCGGATTTAAAATTTTGAATTTGGTGGGTCGATAAATTAATTTAATTAAATTAAAATTAAAATAAATAAATACATCAATAAAAATTTACATTAAAAAGAAATACGAAACTTCAAATTAACAATCACTACTACATCAAAATAACTACAAGTATTCACGACGAGATCTTATATTTTGGTATCGTTTGACAATAACGTCTATATTAATTTCCGTAAATATATCTCTTTCTAGGAAGTAGCGAAACAATCACTCAATAGTTAATCTCTCATATTATTCCGTAATTTGGTTTTTATGATAGTTTTCGTTGGAAATAATTTTTTTACGATTGCAGTTGCTACAGGAAGAAATTTCGTTGAAGATGTTTTTTTTTTTTTTTTGTCTCAACAAATTTTATATAAATTTTATTTAGATTCTTTAAATTTCAAAATATTTCATCACATTGAACATCAATAATAAAATTACCCAATAATAATTCGACAATCATCAATTTTGCTTCTAAAACTTCTGTAGGATACAATTCTGCAAGTAGATGTTATCTCTTTTTATTAAAAGAGAAAATTCTATTTAGGGGTGTATTCGTAATTTTAGTGATAAGTAATATTATTTTATTTTAGTTTTTTCTAAGTCAATTGACCCATGACTGTAACCGCCCCTGCTTATATTTCGTACACTGTGTTACCAATAAATATATATTAATACTAATATTCAAACAATTTTTCTTTAAAATATAGTGGAATCTATCAAAAGATACCCTTTACCTTACTAATAAATATTATAGGCGGCTGTTATGCTATTATACTAATTATCAAACAATTCTCTTTTAAAATATGGTGGAATATATCAAAAGATACTCTTAACTTAATACTTCCTCCGTGGTCCATTTATTTGCTCACTTGACCGGAGATGAGTTTTAAGAAAAATATATAAGAATAGAAATTTTTATTTTTTTAAAGAAAAGTGGTATTTTTTTACTAAAAAATGAAACGGAAATAAATTTGGATGATAACTATAAAAGAAAAATGAAAATAAATTTGAATGACGGAGGGAGTAATATATTTTAGGCGGCTGTTAAGGTATTCATTTGACCAAGTAAATAAAATAATATATAGTAATTAGCAAATCATCATTAGTAGATAACATGTTATTATGTTACACATTAACTTCAACTTGAAATTATTAACAAATCATAACAAGATAAATAATATATGCTGTGTTACATAGAAATATGTTGGTATGAATTATATTTTATACTAAAATTAGCATATATTATGTTACATGCAATTATATAATGCATTATGTTTTATATTGTATTGACATTGCTATATAAGTTATATATTGTGTTTTGTTGTATACTTTGCTTATTGTACTTTTGTGCTAAAATTAGAATATATTGTGCTGAAATCATATTATAATTTTTAATGTTATATTTTTTGCTGAAATCAGAATATATTGTGCTAAAAATTTTGAATTGTAATAGTTATATGATGTCGTATAAATAGGTGTTGATGTGGTGTTTTAAATGTAAAATTAATTTCTAGTATATTATAAAAAATAAAAAATGGATATTTGATTTGATATTTTTTAGAGAAAAATTTTTGTTGAATAATAATATTTTTGTAAAATCCAACAAACGAACAGACCCTAAAGGAAACTATTATGCTAAACTTAGAATATATTAAAAATTAAAATTATATTTTACTATATGTAATTATATAATTTGATATTTATTGACTATGTCAAATCAGTATAGCATCATGATTTACCCAATCAATATGGTAAGAACTCATTTTGATTATTAAAAAAAAAAAAAAAAAAGTAGAAACGAAGCAAGTTGAAAGTAGCAGTTGATTTTATATTTGGATAAATTTTTATCAGCATGTGTGCTGATACCTACAAAATTATTTTAACTAATTACATTAATTATATTAATTAATAGAATAAATTAAAATATTAAATTTATAAGCATTCAACACATACGCTGAATTTTTAAATTCAAAAGCGTGTGATCCATCACCAATTTTTATAAAAGCAATTTTTTGAAAAAAAATTGAATGTAATTGAGTTGAAATTGTTTTTAAACCGTTAAAATTACTTAAAAAAGCATATTGTTAATATGATTGTATTTTTCAATAAAGCTTTTATAATTTATTTTTAGATTTTATTAATTATATTTAAATATCTTAAATTATACTATAAAAATTATATTTTTAGAATTTGATTATTTATATTTCAAAATTTTAATTTAAGGATAATATATATTTTAAGAATAAAATTACAATCCAATATTAAATTAATTGTATTTTACAATTTATTTTATAATTATATTTAATAAATTTTGTTTAATGAAAAAAAAAGTACTTTTAATTTGGTATCTCAATTATAATTATAAATTGTAATTCAAATACTAACATATAAATTAACAATTTGATTACGGTGCTGACAATTATATATCAGCATTATGCTGATTTTCTTCGAAAACACATAGTAAATATCCAAAGAGCATCAATTTTTACTGCAGATAGTTTTGTTTGTTTTTTAAAGTGGTGCTACAGAGAAATATATCTAGTGTTCTACAAGAGTACGTATATGTATAGCGCTCTATAGAAGTACTCTGTAAAATATATATTGTGTTCTTGTACAAATATATTTTGTGCTATTTGAATTTTGAATTGATGCAATTATAACAATTAAATGGTGTTTTCTTAAAGTTTGAACGGCGCTTTATGAAAAAAACTAGTACATTATTTATTATAAATATAATAATCTAATAATATTTTTAATTTTTTTATAAAATATAATATATAAATTGATTATTTTTATATTATTCTCTCTCCGTCCATAGATATGACACATTATTTAAGGTAATAATGTTTAATTAATTTTTAAGTACAAATGTGAAGTATTATTATATTTATTATTCCCTCCGTCCCAATACACGGTAACGTGACAGAACCTAATATCCTGCAGAGTGGCAGATGACCTGGAGGATAAACAATAATTAAAAGTCTATACAAAAGGTACAAGGTTTTTTTTTTTTTTAAGTAGATGTCAAAACTCCGGCCAAACATCAATTCAAATGAGCCTAACTGAAGATGTCTTATCCATTTCTTAACTATATATCCATTTTTCTATTTTAATCCGTCCCAAAATAAAATATATGTTTCTTTTTTTAGTAACCCTAATACCTAGCTACTATTAAAATTACCCTTAAATCTACACTATATTACAAATACACCACTACAATAAATTTTTATTTTGAGGACATTTTAGTCGTTTTACCTTTATTCCTACTACTCTAATGTAATACTAATATTTCTGAAACTCGTGCAAAAAGTAAACATAATATGGGGCGGAGGGAGTATATTATACTTATTATATTCTCAAAATTCATTGATTTCAACATTCTACAATTTTCATATAAACTACTCTCTTTTTCGGTTTTATACACTATATTTACTTTTGCATATTGATCTTTTAATATTAATTATTATATAAAAAATATAGTATAAATCAAAAGAAAAGACATTCTATTAGTGTATTATAATAATAATAATAATAATAATATAATAATAATATCTGTACCAAAAAAATTATATAAATATAAATATATTTTTAATATTAAATACATAATGTTAAAAATAAATGTAACACTTAGAACAATAAAAAGGAGTATGTTGGTATTTAAAAAAGTAATAATAATAATAAATACATATTTTAACATATATATATATATATCAGTACGAAAATAGTATGTTGGTATTTAAAAAATAATAATAATAATAATAATAATAATAAATCCATATTTTAATATATATATATATTTTTTGTTTTCTGAAAAATCATTGAGTTTAATGAGTTACCATCAACCCACTTAAATATAAGTAGCTGAAGTAAAAAAATACTATTGTAGCAATTCATTTTATTCTTAGGCAACTCTAGCCGCCTCATTAAGTAAAAGAAAATAAATATAATAATACTATAATTTTTATATAAAATATTATATCAAATAATTATTTAATTTAAAAATAATAAAAATAAAAATAAAAATAAAAATAAAAGAGAAAGCCGATAATCCTATAATAAACACACTATCTATATATTTCACCACAAATCCACTTGTCAAGAAAGAACACAAACTCCTCCATAGGACCACTATTTTTGTCCATGGAGGAAGAAGGCAAGAAAAAAAACATCTCGCCGTCATCGTCGTCGCCGCCGTCGCCGTCAATACACGTCTTGGCCGTGCCGTATCCGAGCCAAGGCCATGTCAACCCGATGCTTCAATTTTGCAAGCGCCTCGTCTCCAAAGGCGCAAAATCGACCTTCATTATCACCAACTTCATCCGCAAAACATGGAACCCTAAACCCCAATCCGTCGCCATTGACGCCATTTCCGACGGCTTCGACGACGGCGGTTTCATGCACGCCGACGGCGTCGCAGACTACCTTGAAAAAATGGAGGCCGCGGGGTCGCGAACCCTTAAAAATCTCATCGAGAGGTACATAGCCTCGGGGAACGCCGTAGACTGCATAGTCTACGACGCTTTTTTGCCATGGGTGTTGGATGTGGCCAAAGGGGTCGGCATAAAAGGCGCCGCCTTTTTCACACAGGCGTGCGCCGTCAATTATATTTATTACTACGCGCACCACGGCTTGCTGAAGCCGCCGGTCACGACTCCTCCGGCGGTGGAGCTTCCGGGGCTGCCGCCGCTAGAGGCGGCGGACATGCCGTCGTTTTTATACGTGGAAGGATCTTATCCGGCCTATTTTGAGATGGTGCTGAGCCAGTTCAGGAATGTGGATAGGGCTGATTTTGTGCTTGTCAATTCCTTCTACAAGTTGGAACAAAAGGTAACGTATGTGAACTTTCTACTTCTTTGTTTATTTAATTTCGTGTTTAATTTCGATTGTTACTCTATCCGTCGTTTAATTTTGTGCTCACATATGCGGTAAAATTGGTAAAATTATCTATAATTTTTACGTAATTTCGAAATTTAACGTAAATTTTTTTATATTTTAAAAATTGTATGGTGTCTCTTTATACTTCAAAAAATAATTATATAAAAAACCTCGTCATGTAAAAAATATATATGAAAAATCATCTTTTCATTACATTAAAAAAAAAAAAAAAAAAAATTGTAAAAAGAGGTTTCAGGAAATTGCAGTGCAATTTGTCCTTTATAGTTAGAGACAAAAAGTACCCAAAAAGAAAAACATAATTTTTTATTAATTAAAGAAAACCGAAAATAATTTTGATGAGATACCAAATTTGATAGTGTGAGTATATATTTAAATTATAGAACAATTTTATTTTATTTATTTATTTTTTAGTTATTTCAAGTAGGGTTTGTTTGGTTATAGATTAGGAGCTGATATTAAATTTTAAATACTTCATCCAACCATAAGAAAGAGTTGCATTTGCTTTTGCTTTTTGTACATGTTTTTAAATATTAGTATTCCCTCCGTCCCACATAATTTGTTTGTATTTTTTATTTTCGTCTGTCCCACATAACTTGTTCATTCCTTTTTTGGAAATATAATTATACACTTTAATCTCATTTTAAATTTTAAATTTTATAATTTTTTTAATCTTAATTAAACTATTTAATTATCTTAATCTTAATCCACAATTATTTTTATTATACGATAATTATTTTTACTAATACACTTCTTAATTACTTACTAATCACACTTTACCTAAATTCTCGTATTTACAGTAATAGGTCCATAATATATGGGACGGAGGGAGTATTATATTATTGGTATATAGTAAAAAGAAAAAAACTACTCCTATTAATATGGTATAATATAAAAATAATAACATTTGTATAATATATTATAAATTATAAGAATATTTATTATGTTAGATGAATAGTACAATTACTAAATTAGAAACAATAACTCTATTTTGGGATGGACCAAGTGAATGATATACTCATTTTTATGAGACAGAGAGAGTAATAAAATTTTAATTGAAATTGTTATTTAATATGATTAAATTATTCATAATATAATATTTAAATATAAAATTAATTTTTTACATAAAAAAATAAATTTTTGTATAGGATATTATATTAATATTTTTTATCAAGTCAAATATTAAATTTTTACTATTTTCAATTTTTTAAAAAGCGTCGAACTTTGAAAAAAAATTACTTAAGCATAACAAACATCATTATATATCTTGTTATTTTATAATTTCCAACTAAAATCAATATTATAGCACATTTTCAATAAATATATAGTATTATTTTACTCGCATAAAATATTATATTAAAATACTATTTAAACAAAAATTTAAATCAACACTCAATTTCAAATTAATTTTAAATTACAATCAAACTAATATTTACAAGACAAAATTAATAAATAAAACACCCTTTACATAAGAAAAATAATTTTGTGTAATATTTAAAAAATCTCGCTATCATTTAAAAATGTAATTATATTATTTTATTTTCAATTATAAAAAGTAAAAAAATAATAAAAAAATATTATATATTTATATTAAATTTATTTTAAATAATTTGAACATATTTCCGTGACAGATAAAAATATTAATATAAATAACTATAATAATAATTTTTTTTTATACTCCTCTATTCCATTTGAATGTACTTTGTTTGGTTTTATATGAAATAATAAATAATATTATTTTATTGATTAATATAAATATGTAAAAGATTTTAATATTTTACTCATTTCACAATTAATGTACTCTATTCGTTATGATCAATTTTTCTTTTTTGCCCGTTTAACAAAAAATAATATATTTTAATTTTTAATAAATTTATTTATCTTAAATATATTTAATGAATATAAATTAATTTAATTTAATTTTTAATTTTTTACCGGCCCATTAAAAATTCTTTTATTTATATATTACTTCTCAATAAATAAATATTCTTATTTATATTTAAAAAATTTTATTTTTTTATAAAAATTAGTTTTAAAATTTCTCATTTTTATAAAATTTTATAATTTTCATATTGAATTAACAAAATAACTTTCATATTGCATATATTTCATTAAGATATAATTATAAAAATATTTAAAATATAAATAATACTACTTATATAAAAAATAATTAAATAATATTATAATTTATTATTAATAACGTACTATTCTACTCTAACTAAAATATCTGTTCCTAACAAAAAGAATATTTGTATTAGGGTGTGTTTGTTTGGGGGTTTGGATTTTGAATTGAAATTTGAATAGTAAAACTTTTTGAATTTGAATAGTTGCATTGATGTGATATAAATAGGTGTTGATGTGATGTTTTAAATGTAAAATTAATTTTTAGTATAATATAAAAAATAAAAAATAGGTGTTTAATTTGATATTTTTAAGAGAAAAAAAAAATAAATAGCAAAAATCTAATACAATCCCCCAAACAAACACACCCTAAATATGGCAGATTTTTCCTATGAGAATTAATTTTCAATAGTTTTCAAAATAAATAAATAAATAAATAAAAGTTTCAATAATTCTTTTGATCCGAAAGTTTCAATAATTGATGACAGCTATGATGGCAGTGCGTTGGTTTCACCGTACTCCAATTTAATTGATTTTATACTCCTTTTATTCCATAACTAAATATCAATTTATTTTTTCATATAATTTTAAAAATATTAGTATTATATTGAAATATATTAGAAATAAAGAAGAAATGAAATTTGTATAATATATTGTAAATTATAAGGGTATTTATAATGTTACGTAGACAGTATAATTACTAAAAAAAGAAATGAATACTTTGTTATGGGACAAACTAAAATAAAAAAATGAATACTTTATTATGGGACAAAGAGTGTATTATTTTCAATATAATTCAGTGCATTAATGGCTGAAATTTGACAATAATATTATAAAATTTATATATCTAATGTAAATTTTATATATAAAAAAAATAACTCCTTTTTATTTAAACATTTATCTTAATTTATTTGGGCCACTGAAAAATTTTTTTAAAAAAATGATAATATTTTAATATTAAAATTAAATAGGTAAAAAAATATAAAACAAATATTATAGAGAATTTATTAAAATTTTGATAAAAATAATGAAGTAAATATAAAAAATAGTAATAACATAATTATTATTTATTAAAATAAAATTAGTAAAATTTTAAATAAATCGAACTACGCATAAATTTAACGTACGATTAAAAATAATAATTTACCTAAGATTGTTGGAAATAAGAAAAAGAATAATGAATTAATATTCTCTCCATCCACAAACTAAAAATAATATCTAATAATTATTGTCATCTTTCTATTATTATACACAAAATTTATTTTTTTACCATTTCTTTATTTACTCTTTTATTTTCTATACACAAGATTAAGGGCAAATTTGTCATTTTATAACAAAAACCCTAATTGCCTAAAAATATGTGTAAATATCAAATAGAACATTAGAAAATTGACGGAGGGAGTATTTGATAGGATAAAAAATGTTTAATATTGCGTCATCAAAAAAATATTTAATACTATTGAATTTTAAATATAAGAAACATAAAATGAATGTTTAAATTAGTATTAAGAAAATAGTAGTACTAATCATAATAAAAAGTAGGATTGGGAGCCAACCCTATATCCAAAGATTCCAAACACTTGAAATTTTAGAGTTTTAGAAGAATTTGGATTTAAAATTATTTTGAATTGAAAAAAGTTAAAATATGTTTAGATAAAAAAGTTTTAGATATTTTGGATAATTCTTTTGTTGTAATATTATATGATAAATAGTAGTATAATAGATTATGTGAAAATAAAATACTCCCTCCGTCCCGTTGGAAGGGTTTCATTTGCTTTTTGCACATAGATTTTTGAATATCAGTATTATATTGGATCGTAATAAAAAAGACAAAAATACTCATATTAGTATAGTGTAATATAAAAATAATGACATTTGTGTAATATATTGTAAGTTGAAAGGGTATTTATTATGTTAGGTAGTAATACAATTACTAAATTAGGAAATGGTAACCTTGTTTTGGGACGGACAAAAATGGAAAATGGTAACCTTTCAATGGGACGTAGAGAGTATTAATTTAATATACTTCGTTTGGCTCTAAGGGTTCCATTTATTTTTTTTGTGTGTTGATCTTTAAATATTAATTATTATATTAAAATATAGTATAAAATTAAAAAAAATTATAAAAATACTTCAATTGTGTCTTATAATATTAATTGAAAGATATTTGTACAAAAAAATTATATAAATATAAGAATATTTTAATGTTAAGTACAACGACTTAAACGATAAATAATCCTTAGAGGGAGGGAGCATTTGATAGAAAAATAATTTAAATTTAATTTTATAAAGAATAATAATATAAATATAGTCAATATAGATATCATTTTGAATAAAATAAAATTTATATAATAAAAATATAAAAATATTTTTATTATTTCTATAAAATAAATTAAAATATAGATATGTAATACTCCCTCCATCCCGAATAAATTGTTTATGTTACTGTAAATATGATAATTTAGATAAATTATACTCCCTCTGTCTCGGATATTTTGTCCGCGTTACTGTAGACACGAGAATTTAGAAGAGGTATAATTAGTAAATAATTAAAAATATGTTAGTGAAAATAATTATTGTATAATAAAAATAATTATAAATTAAGATTAAAATAATTGATTAGTATAATTAAAATTAAAAAAATTATAAATTAAAATTTTAAAAATATGATTCAAGTGTATAATTATTTTCCAAAAAAGGAAAGTGACAAAATAAGTGGGACGGACGAAAATGGAAAGGCGGACATGAGAAGTGGGACTGAAGGAATAATTAGTAAATAATTAAAAAATATATTAGTAAATATAATTATAATATAATAAAAATAACTATAAATTAAAATTAAGATAACTAAATAATTTAACTAAAATTACAAAATTACTCCTTCCGTCCCTTAACAATCTATTTATTTTTCTATTTTGGTCCGTCTCATAACAAAGTATCTATTTTCTTTTTTACTAACGGTATTTTCTACTAATATTAATAATACTCTTACAGTTTTCAATATATTATACAAATATCAATTTTCCGATATTAATAACATTATTATAGTATTTTCTACTTTATTTATACCACATTCTATTATAATACTAATATTTTTAAAATTCTGTGCAAAAAGCAAATAGATAAATAGATAAAATAGTACTCCCTTCGTCCCAGATACCGTGTCTGCTACACTGTAGACACGGTATTTTAGGAGGGGTGTAATTAGTAGATAATTAAGAATGTATTAGTGAAAATAATTATCCTATAATATAAATAATTATAAATTAAGATTAAGATAACTAATTAGTTTAATTAAAATTAAAAAAAATAAAATTAAAAAATTTAAAATGAGATTAAAGTGTGTAATCATTTTCCAAAAAAGAAAGTGACATGGTACGTGGGACGGACAGAAACGACAACGTTGATATGGTATCCGGGACGGAGGGAGTATAAATTATAAAATTTTAAATATGATTAAAAATATATAATTATATTTCTAATAAAAAATTTAACAAATTATAAGTAACGGACAAAAGTATAAATTATTACCTAATTTTATATTGGACAGAGAAAATATATAAATATATATATTCTTAGTGGTGGCCCCAATTATTTCGAGAGGGCCCACCTCACATGCAACATTACCGCGTTTGGAACTTTGAGCGGGAATCTAATTTCTTTCCAAAGAGTACATTACCACTGAAGTGAAAGAGGCTTGTCTAAAATAAACTAAAGTGCGTTTGTTGTGTTTTTTATTTTGAAGAATCTTATATATATATATATATATATAATAAAAAATTATATAAATAATACTCATTTTGTCTCGTAGCAAAATATTTATTTTTTTATTTTAGTCCGTTCCATAACAAATATCAATTTTTTTTTAAGTAACTGTAATATCTACTTAACATTACAAATATACTTACAACTTACAATATATTACACAAATGTTATTACATTTATATCACACATACTAATAAGGTTATTTTAGTCATTTCTACTTTATTTCCTATTACATCCAAATATAATACTAATATTTTTAAAACTACGTGTAAAAAATAAATGAATATTTAATTATTGGACGAAGGGAGTATAAAAATAATGAATATGAATAGTATATTAAAAAAATATATTGAATTTTTTTTGAAAAAGAAATGAGCCCTCGTATGTTCCTTAAATATACATTATCTACTAAAAATTAATAATTTCAAAATTTGGATAATTTTTTAATATACCCTAGTCTATGGATTTGTTTAATTTTTTTTTTTTTTTTTTTCTAAAAAATGTTTATTTGATTATTATTTAAGCATGTGGTATTTTTCACATGAGATATCGAAAATTGTGTTGATAATATAAAAATGACACGAAAATTGTGTTGATAATATAAAAATGACACTTTCTCCATCCGGTTCTAAGAGTCACATTTACCTTTTACGTCATTGTATTTAATATTAAAAATAACCTTGTATTTGCATAATTTTTTTTGTTTTAAGAAATGTCCTTCTATTAGTATTATAAGACAGTAATTGATATATTTTTTGCATTTTTTTATAATTTGTACTATATTTTGATATAATAATTAATATTCAAATATCAATACGCAAATAATAAATAAAACCTTAAAGTTAAACGGAGATAATATTATCAATAGTAAAAATGTGGTTGTATAAACAAACCCCTTTAGTGTGTTTGATTTTCTTTTAAAGTTAAATATTTCAATGTTCAATCAACACGACTACCAATAAAATTATATAATTTTTTTTTTAAAAAAATATCATATTAAAATACTGTTTAAATCAAAATTAAAATTAATAACTCAAACTCAAGACAAACAAAACACTAAAGCAAAAATAACTATAATCTCCAAGTTAAACTTCTCTTTAACTTTTTTCATACCATGAGTTTGTTTCTCTTAATTACTATTTTTATATCATATTTTATATGAAAAAATAATATAAATTTTATATATCAAAGGATATTGATTTGTGTTTTAAATAAAATATAAAAACATTATAGATTTGGTTACTTTGTATTTTTAAATAAATATATTTTTTATATTATATATATATATATGAAATTATGCCTGTAATTTTAAAAATATTAATATTTTGTATTTAATGAATAAAATATATTTTATTTATCTAATTTTGAAGGGGTCCTTTGGAGTTCTATAATAAATTAAGAAATAATATATTTTATTGGTAAATGTAAGTGTATACGAGGTTTTTGATATTTTTGTCATTTAACTTTATGTATAAATTAATTGTATATGTAACAATATATTTTTAAATATAGATAACAGTTACAAGTATTCTAATATTAGTGTATGATTACATTTATTAAAATAACAAACATATACTTTTGAATGACATAGACCAAAATCATAAAAAAATTACTTTCAATTGAGACGAATAAAGTATATATTATATATATATATATTGTATTAATACATATGTATATTATATTTATTCATAATATTTATAAAACATCGTGCAATTAAAAAACAATAAGTGAACAAACCAAATATGCATATCATCCTCATTTCAAATCCGATGAACTATTATTTCTTTTTCTGCATTATCAGGCAGTCGACTCAATGACACAGCTATGTCCCTTACTCACAATCGGCCCTACTCTCCCCTCTTCCTACTTAGACAAACGCATCCAAAACGACACCCGCTACGACATCAACCTCTTCGAATCCCACCCCTCATCCTCCATCTTCGACTGGCTCAGATCCATGCCCCCAAGCTCCGTCGTCTACGTCGCATTCGGGAGCATGGACAAGCTTCCCACCCCACAAATGGCCGAGATCGCCTGGGGCCTCGACCGCGCCGGGTACCCCTTCCTGTGGGTCGTCAGGGACCAGGACAAGCACGACAAGATCCCCAACGACTTCATCAATAAAAACCAGAACAAGGGTTTGTTCGTGCACTGGAGCCCGCAGCTGGAGGTGCTGTCGGACAGGGCCATCGGGTGCTTCTTCTCGCACGGCGGCTGGAACTCGACGACGGAGGCGCTCAGCACGGGCGTGCCGATGGTGGTGATGCCGCAGTGGACGGACCAGACGACGGACGCGAAGCTGGTGCAGGACTTGTGGGGGGTCGGGGTTAGGGTTAGGGTTAGGGATGGGATTGTCGGGAGGGAAGAGGTTGAGAGGTGTGTGAGGGAGGTTATGGAGGGGGAGAAGGGGAAGGTTATGAAGATTAATGGAGGGAAATGGAAGGCCTTGGCTAAGGAGGCTGTCGATCGTGGCGGCACTTCTGATCTCAATATCGATCATTTTTTGTCCAACTTGATCGATTGATCGATTTTTGGGCAATTTATATTGAAATTCGAATGATTCTACCGTAATTATGAATTACTTATGTGCGTAAATGTACCAAAATGTCTAGGAATAATGCGTTTTTATACTTTTGTTGTGATCTGATGTGCCTTGGTATTTTTGAGATTTTTTAGCTGTAAAGTTTTTCAATCATCAATGTTTCGAAAGAAGAATAAGAAAGGAAAAGATTGATGTTTATTATTCATGAAGTTATTCTCTCACAAACCTCAAAGTTAGTTAGAGTTGACTATTGATATGAAAATATTTGTTAATTTTGGCTTGACTTACCCTCAAAGATCGCGTGAACTTAATCTGGCATGGGAGAAAGATCAAACATTCATTCAATATAAACTTTTAGATTGGACGGATGAAATGTAACTGTTAGCTAAATATTAACTGTGATAACTGCTAATTTTTAAAAGCTCAATAGATAGGAGGTCAATGTGTACCATTTGCACCATTCATTCACTTTAAGTTAAGTCATTTCACATATTTCATTATATTCATTTCATAAGGTTAAGTTGTAAGGGTTTCAAGCAACAATGGGTATCACTTGTGCCAATAGTGTTGTATTTAGTTCCCACTCGCATTTTTTATAACACTCAGTTAAATTTGTTGTATTTTTTAAATGTAGTCTTGATTTGTATTATTTAGTATTAACAAGATATCATATTTTCTCACTTCGCAATAACTCAAGGTTGTTATTTACATAGTATAATTACTTTACAAAATGCATTGCGACTTCTTTAATGAGTACATATATAACTTGGCTAATTGAATCTAGTTATACAATGTGGAAATGGTTACTCCAATAGGTTGATCATAGAGATATCGGAGAAAGCAACCTTTGAACTTTATTTTAACTTAAGATAAGTAGTAAAAAGATAATATATATATATTGCTACTATTTAATTTATCAATAGTTAATATCGATGAGAACTGCTCACTGAACAAATTAACAATAATGTTCATAAAAATGAAATATTAGCATAAGATTGATTAGTGAGTGTGATCGATGAGCATTGTGGGTTTATAGACTAATACTCATAAAAATTGCAAGGTCGAAATCATAAGTGATCACTTTCACGTAGTACTCTCTCCCCCAACGTAATTCACACACTTTCAATGCCATTTTCTATTTTGCAATTTCTTTTTGTAGTGTAATTTTATGATGTTGTCGTTTGCAAGATTTTCCTGTATTTTTATTAGTCATCAATTTTTTTTTTCTAAAAAAAATATTAAATCAATTACCTTTTTTTTTTTTTATTTTTATATTATATTAAAAATTAATTTTTTATTTAAAATATTACATTAATACTTATTTATATCATATGAAACAAACACACCCTTAGTGGTTAGTGATCTCATTTCAATTATGCAAGTCTTTTTGTTTGACTCGCAACTCACTTATCTTGAGAAAATTACCAATTAATTTGCTTTTGGAGACTTATTGATGCATTTTCAAATAAGATTAGATTTCTAATAAGTAGGGGTCTTTTAGATTTTACATGCGAATCCACAGTCGTTACTCGAAAGTGCGGACTGGGTAAACCTCCGGTCGGACCTAATACCCTGCAAACTAGATCCGACAGGCAAATCACACTAGGCGTCGGGGGTTTGAACCTATGACTACACGGTTACGCGTTCAACCCCCGCACCACCAGGCCATCCCTTACGGGACAATATATTGTTGTCTAAGAAAATAGTCTGCTTCATCCTTTTTAAAAATTTATCAATTGTGAATGAACTATTTTTGTTTTGATTCGCGCTTGTACTTAGGGTCCTTAACCTATTACATCTCCGAATTGGTACCGATATTTTATGTTATCAAACGTTTTTTATTTACAATTTACATGGTTTACTTTTTGAGGCATCATTCCAACTTATCACGTATGTACATTCAATTGGGTCGAATGACCCCACACTCGGTTTTCTTGTTCTATACATACACCTTCCAATAAAATAGTTGGGATGAGCGTTAACATCAAAATAGTTTGTATTATATAAAATTTTATTATCTGCAAAATAATATTCATATTACATATAATTTATTGAGATATAATTCTAAAAATATTTAAAATACCAATAACTCTACTCATATAAAAAAACAGAAATATAATATCATAAATTATTATTAATAACTTACTAATCTGCACTATCTAGAATACTGTATCCGTAACAAAAAGACTCATCTCTCGCTGAACGGAGAAAGTACAATGTTAATCTCAAAAGTTACAATTTCCTAAATAATCTAGTATCATTGCATTAACAATTTATTTACGTCTTTTATTTTAAATATAATGAAAATATATATATGTTGCCGTTTTAATTATTCGCATAATATATAGCTAAATGGATAATATAGTCCTGCCATGCAAAATATTATTCTAAATTAAATAATTTCATTATATTTAATTAAACTAAAAAAATAGGTTTTTTTTTTGTTTTTTTTGTTTTTTTGTAAAACAAAGGCAAGTAGTATGATTTTGATCTTTTCTAATTTAATTTGTTTAATTTTTATTATTTTTCTATTTATATTTATAATAAAATATTGATTTGAAAATACATAATCTTATGCATAGTGTTAATTCTTTCTTCACCATCATACATTGTCCAAACACTTAAAAAAAATAAGTATATTTGTAACGGAATTCCGTTCCTAAAGTTCACGTAGCTAAAGTAATTCCATCTTAAATTCCGTCTCTAATATCATTAGTAACGGAAAAAGTGAATTTAACAACGAAAAAATTTTGTTACAAAATTGATATTTTTTTGTAGTGAAAAGTATATCATATAAATTTGTTTCTTCCGATGTTATAGAACTCATCCTGTTTACCAAAAGTGGATTCTCTATCTGATCTCAAATCCATATCCACGTCATGTAATCACACCATCTTCAATCATGATCAAACGTATATTTTTCTTTCAGATTTCTAGTATTTCTAAATTAATTTAAATTTTTATACTTACAAAATACGTTGAAACAAATTATTAGAATTTCTAATGTAATTTAGAATAAATAAATAAATCAATCAATCGCTTCCATTGTTAAGAAAATACCACAACATCTACCTAACTAATAATATTTTTTTTTAACAGTGAATGATATTTATGGTCTACTTTTTTTATATATAATTGAAAATATGAAAATATTTGACATAGTAATAGGAGAAAGATGGAGATTGCCACGGAAATGTCAAAAATATTGAAGAATATTTGAACTAATACTAAGACAAAACTGACTATTGTTCTAAATGTATAGGCAAAGTGCTGAGAGCATCCGCATCGGAGAAACTCATCATCATCATCATCAGTTTCTCTAACATCTCCACGTCATCATTTTTTTTTTATTTCAGTAAAAAATATATATATATTTATATTTATATTAAAATTATTATTTTAAAAAATAAATTTAAATAAAAATATATCAATATATATATCATTGTGGAGAGAATAAAATTTTATATAATACAAAAATATAATACTAAATAAATAATATATTATATTATAAGAATATTCAAAATAAAAATCACATGGGACTATTGTAGTTGCTGTGTAGTTGCTGTGCAGAATATCTGCAAAACTTTTTTGCATTTTGTTTTCAAATAAAATAATGACATGGCATGTACACGTAAGGAGAGAGATAGTTTCTCTAAAGAAGAGAAACTGGCGATGCGGATGGTCTAACAATAATATACATATTCTTCTATTAACATTCTATTCTCCAACCAATGTTACAACTTTAAGTACAAAAATAAAATTAATTTTTGTAATAATAATAATAATAATTTTGTCTTCCAAAAATATTTTTTCCGTCGAAGAGTAAACTTTTTATTTTATTATTTTAATATGTTATATCACACAATTTTATTTTTTATTTTTACATTAACTGAAAAAATACATCAACATATATTTATATCATATCAAATAAACATTTTAATTCAAAATTTTACTATACAAATCAAAATCCAAAACCAAATAGGCATGTTTGCTTTTCTTTCAACAACACAATTTTATTATTCATTTCCAATTAAATACTCCCTCCGTTCCGGCGACAAATGACCTATTTTCCTTTTTTTGTCCGTTCCATAAAAGATGATTCATTTATATTTTAATAAATTTATTCATCTTAAACATATTTAAAAAAATAAATCACTTTGATTAGATTTTTTATTTCTTACACAAGACCCATTCAAAACTATTTATTTTTATCTCTCTTCAATAAACAAATATTTTTATCTATATTTAAAACTTTTATTTTTTTTATAACATTAATTTCAAAGTAATTATAAATAAATAAATATATTTTTTATTTATTTGTATTATATAAAATTTTAATTTACAAAATGATATATATATTGCATATATTTTATTGAGATATAATCATAAAAATATTTAAAATACCAACAACACTACTCATATAAAAGATAATAAAGTAATATCATAATTTATTATTAGTAACTTATTAATCTACACTACCTAAAATACCGTATCCCTAACAAAAAAGTTTATTTCTCGCGAGACGGAGGTAGTATTTCTTTTTTAAGAAAAAACATCATATCATATAATATATATTTTTAAAAGTAAAAAATATCACATGAAAATTTATTTATATTAATCAATTAATTATTTTAATGGTGATTTGGGCTTAAATGCCTCTGCATTATGTTGATTTGGAATTCAGTACCCAATTATAATACCTTTATATGAACTACCTCATTTTCATTGTTCATTTTTCTCACCTCTTAGAGTTTCTCTTCTTCTTCTTCTTCTTCTTCTTCTTTTTTTTTTTTTTTTTTTTTTTTTTTTTTTTTTTTTTTTTTTTTTTTTTTTCGCGCAAAATTCCTCAATCCGTTGAGTCCTCTTCCGTGAGTTCGAAAGCAATCTCCCGCCTAGGTCGTTCAGGTTCCAGCAGTGTAGAAGTTTCATTTCTCTCACATTCTTTCACTGTCCGGCCGGTTTTATATCGTCGGTTGTCGTCCTGTTCGATTGAAAAACTCCCTAGGGCACTCACCGGCTCTGGTTCCCTGTCATCAGCGGTCGCTTGATTTGGTCAAAGAGCTCCCGAGGGCTGTCACCGGCAATCTCCAGATCGACACTGCCCTCTGGTTGGCCCGGGTCCACGGTCGCCGTCCACGGATCGTTCTCTGCAGTGGCCGGTCTTCCCTGTTTCCCGGTGAAATTAAAGTTGAATGTTTATAATGT